ATGTGTGGCATGGAAGACTAGGACATGTTAATTATGCATCTCTTCGGAAATTAATTAACATGGAATATATCCCTAAGTTTGACATCGACCAGTCCCACAAATGTGAGACGTGTGTCGAAGCAAAGTCAACGCGAAGTTCGTTTCAAACAATTGAGCGAACCACTCAGCCACTGGATTTAATTCACACGGATCTGTGTGATTTCAAATCAACGCCTTCAAGAGGTGGTAACAAATATGTTATCACTTTTGTCGATGATAGCACGAAGTATTGCTATATTTATTTACTAAAAAGTAAAGATGAGGCGTTGGACACTTTCATTCGGTATAAGAATGAAGTAGAAAATCAACTCATTCGCAAAATTAAAGCGATTAGGAGTGATAGGAGCGGGGAGTACGAAGCTCCATTCGCCGAATTGTGTGCACAACAAGGGATTGTGCATCAAGTAACTCCGCCATACACACCCCAATCAAATGGTGTGGCGGAACGTAAAAATCGCACTCTCAAAGATATGATGAATGCGATGTTACTCAGTTCGGGGCTACCCCAAAATATGTGGGGGGAGGCTATTTTGTCTAGCAATTATTTGTTAAATAAAATACCCCGAAAGAAACTCGATAAGACTCCTTACGAGTTGTGGTATAATAGGAAACCTTCCTATAAATACCTGAAAGTGTGGGGGTGCCTTGCAAAAGTTTTAGCACCGCCACCAAAGAAAATAAAGATTGGTCCAAAGACCGTTGATGCAATCTTTATTGGCTACAGTGGTAGCGCGTATCGATTCTTAGTGTATAGGTCTGATAATCCAGATATACATAAGAACACGATAATGGAATCGAGGAATGCAATATTCTTCGAAAATATATTTCCGTTAAAGTCGAGGGAAGAAGCAAGTTCTTCCAAACGTTCACATGATGAAATGTTGAATGATGGTTCCTCGGATCAGTCTAATACCGGTATAATTGATGAAACCGAAACTGAGATTGAACTAAGACGAAGTAAAAGGACACGGAATAAGAAGTCCTTTGGTAATGATTTTCTAACTTATTTGTTAGAATTTGAATCGGGGACTCTATCCTTTCTGATAGAGACTGAACCCGATATTCTAACATGTTTATTAGAAAATGAACCACGAACTTATCGTGAAGCAGTGACTTCGTCTGAAGGCCCTCAGTGGAACGAGGCAATTAAAAGTGAAGTTGATTCTATTATGCAGAATCACACTTGGGAGTTAGTGAATCTACCTCCTGGATGCAAACCGTTAGGTTCTAAGTGGATCTTTTGGAGGAAAATGAAACCAGATGGTTCCATTGATAAGTATAAAGCCAGACTTGTAATTAAGGGTTATAATCAACGTGAGGGCTTTGATTATTTTGATACATATGCCCCTGTGTCAAGGATAAATTCCATTAGGATGATACTTGCAATAACTTCCTTGCGGAACTTAGAAGTTCATCAAATGGATGTGAAAACAGCTTTCCTTAATGGAGATCTAGAAGAAGAGATCTACATGGAACAACCAGAAGGGTTTATAGTTCCTGGTCAAGAAAGGAAAGTATGTAAACTCGTTAAGTCATTATATGGTCTTAAACAAGCGCCAAAAGTATGACATGAGAAGTTTGACCAGGTAATGATGAACTCTGGGTTCAAAATTAATGAATCAGACAAGTGTGTTTATCTAAAAAACACATACCAAGGGTATGTCATGTTGTGTCTGTATGTAGACGACATACTCATAGTTGGTAGCGATGACAAGATGGTCAAGTCTACCAAAGACATGTTAAACTCGCGATTTGACATGAAAGATATGGGTCTGGCTGAAGTAATTCTTGGAATTAAAATTGTGAGAAGACCTGGGGGTCTAGCACTGAGCCAATCTCATTATATTGATAAAATCCTTGACAAGTTCAACAAGGATGACGTTAGAGTAGCAAAGACGCCGTTGGACGTCAACGCACACCTGGCTAAAAACCGAGGTTCCAGTAACTCTGAAATCGAGTATGCGAGAGTTATTGGAAGTTTGATATATCTAATGAGTTGCACTTGACCAGATTTAGCCTGTGCCATAAGTAAGCTGAGTAAATACATCAGCAATCCGAGTGATGAGCACTAGAAGGCTTTTGTACGTGTGATGAGATACCTGCGGTACACACGTGACTATGGATTATGCTACTCGAGATATCCACCGGTATTTTAAGGATACTCGGATGCGAATTGGATATTTGATAGTAAAGACTTGAAGTCCACAAGTGGATATGTCTTTACGTTAGCGGGTGCAGCAATATCTTGGAAATCCTCAAAGCAAACAGTGATTTCTAGGTCCACCATGGATTCTGAGTTTATAGCTTTAGACAAATGTGGAGAGGAAGCTGAATGGCTACGCCACTTCCTAGAGGACATTCCAAGATGGGATAAACCGGTCCCACCAGTTTGCATCTATTGTGATTGTCAATCAGCAATAGGACGTGCAAAGAGTAATATGTATAATGGTAAGTCTAGACATATTCGTCGTAGACACAAAACCATTAGACAACTTCTCACAACTAGGATTATCACAATTGACTATGTGAAGTCAAAAGATAATCTGGCGGATCCGCTAACCAAAGGGTTAACAAATGAGTTGTATGAGAAGTTGGTGGCAGGAATGGGTTTGAAGCCCTTGTTCTAGGACAATCCTATGAAGGAAAACCCAACCTGGCTGGTACCCAGGTTCAATGGGACAACCTACTTGTAGGATAAAGCGAGGTCACTGTGGGGGCGGTACCGGAACCTTCGGTCAGTCCCTTCTGTTCCTGCTGAAGACAATGACTCCCGAAATTGATAAGGTTAGCACATAAATATGCTTTAATGATTCTTAACCAATAGACACGGTGGTCTAAGGGGAGTAATCGGGATACTCTTAAAGAATCACCTGTGTAAGAGTGAAGTGTGGTCGCTTCAAACGGAGGATCTTGGGCTTAATCCTCTAAACACTCTCGCAGAACCAGGCGTGTGTCCCACGACCAAAATGCGCACAACCATGAGAACAGAACGGCGTTTGGTTGGAATCTGTGTATGGTATACTATCGTTTACACAAGCGGCAGTACAGTTCAAAGACATCGTGTTCTACTGAACAGCCAGTAAAGAAGGTATACTTTACAAGGGACATGTTCAAAAGTGGAGACACTTACATGTTCTTTGCAGATTTTCAACCGTGGGGAATTGTTGGAATTTTTGGCATTAAATGGACCAACTTGGGTATATTTGTCATTAGGTCCACTAACGGTTTTAACCGTTAATTAATGGACGTGTGTTCTCTTAAATGAGATAAATGTTTTGACAATTTATACGCCAAAAATGGTAGAGGTTGAATGAGAAATTGATTCTCAGAGCTAACCCATTAATAAAAGAATATGGTAAGGATTGCAATTTTACTGAACCAATCTTCTTTTATTAATTTTACGTATTGTTTAAAATTAGTCCATTTTTACGGAGTTAACTGGCCATTAATCCCCAATTATTCGGGACAAATTTTAAACGGAGCGTAGCGTAACGGACGTGTTAATGGCTAATTAATCACCATTAACACACCACAAATGCCATGATTAATTCCAATGGTTAATGGTGTAGGAGTTACATTTTTTAAACTCCTTAGTTATAAAAATCAAAGCTCTCTCCATCATTTTGTGTGTGTGCCTTGCGTGAGGAAGAGAGAAAGAAAAGAGAAAACACTTTATTATTTTCTTTTAGAGAGAGCTCTTGATTTTCCGGCCATCCCCTTTAAAGTTTTTTTGTCGCCAACGTTCCTACGTTGTTCTTGTTTGTTGGTGTGTGGTTGGTCCGTACAATCTCCACACACGATAGCGGTTTTATCCTGGGAGGAGAGTGCCCACGTTTT